TGTATATAAACAGAGTGATCTTAAAATAAGAGGTGTAGAAATGTGTAGATAGCAAATATACTAATAGACCTAGTTGCCGGTATACATATATACATATACTTATATCGATTACATGAGAGATGTAGATGGAGACATAAATATAGGTATCAAATATACAAGTAACGAATCTAAAATCTATTTTAAAAGCTCCCCCACCATCTGAGTTGCACCGAATCCTCGGGTCGATACTTGATTGTATCCAACCAATGTCACGCGGACACCCAAGACCCCGGCTGTTTATAAAGGCTTGTATATCCCTAATCGCCCCCCGCTGTCCGATCGATTCCATCTTGGCACCACATCATATTCTCGTCTGTACTCGAATCTAAAGGTTCCAAAAATTATCTCCATCCGTGGGTCTCTGTATCACGTGACTACCGTATAGCTGGGGGAGGGGGAGGTTTTGTTGCTAGACGTTAAAACAATTTTACTAACATTATGTTTGTATCTGTGGTTTATGGCTGGAGGTGTGTGTTGAAGACACCATTATGTTAGTATGTGGTTTATGGCTGTAGCTGTGTATTGAAGACACAATCATGTTTCTATCTATGGTTTATGGCTGGAGATGTGTATTGAAGAGAAGTTGTGTTGGTTAGAAGTGGCAAGTTTGACTTGGCGAGTCTTCTTTTATTTGGGTGGTAAAGGTTGTGTTGGCAGTGTAGATCTAAGGGGTGGTGCGTCTGAACTTACAAGGGTAGATAACTCTACACACTCATGGGCAGATAACTTTACACACTCCTAGGCAGATAATTCTACACACTCCACTTTACACACTCCTAGGCAGATAATTCTACACACTCCTGGGCAGATAATTCTACACACTCCTGGGCAGATAATTCTACACACTCCTGGGCAGATAATTCTACACACTCCTGGGCAGATAATTCTACACACTCCTGGGCAGATAATTCTACACACTCCTGGGCAGATAATTCTACACACTCCTGGGCAGATAATTCTACACACTTCTGAGCAGATAATTCTATACACTCCTGGTCAGATAACTCTACACTTTCCTGGGCAGATAACTACATATTCAGACCACGCTGCACAAACATGGGCAGATAACTGTGTACACTCACGGGCAGATAACTCTATACACTCATTGAGAGAAAGCTCTTCACAATTAAAAACTTGCCCAACACGCAGTGCTTGCGTCTTTACGCTCTAATGTAAACCATTTACAACCCGTTCGTTATTGTTTGCATATCTATTGCAATTGTCTGGAGCTCAAGAAAAAATAAACCTATTTCCTAGTCCATCGAAAATGGGTCTCACCACCACCCCCCCCCCCCCCCCCCACCCCCTCACTCACAATCTGACCGCTCCGTGTAGCGGCATAGGCTATCCTAGTCATGAATGATTCATTGTTATTCTTTGAGCTGTTTATCGTGTTTCTGTGCTGGTGCCTTTCTGTTGACCAGAAGTAATCGATAATTTTGTGTGCCGAGTGCCGGATCAAAAAGGAATTTTGTATGTCCAGCGGAAAGACCAAAGCATGTTCTTATGTAATGTTATCACATTCTCTTTTGTAATGTTATCACATTCTCTAATGTAACGTTATCACATTCTCTAATGTAATGTTATCACATTCTCTTATGCAATGTTATCACATTCTCTTATGTAATGTTATCACATTCTTTAATGTAACGTTATCACATTCTCTAATGTAACGTTATCACATTCTCTAATGTAACGATATCACATTCTCTAATGTAATGTTATCACATACACGAGGAACTATAAATGGAGTGTGGCCGAAGCGAGTTCTTACGTCTTGTATAGCTCAGTCACTCTTGCAAGCGGCAATACTGTAAGACTTCAAATGTAAACATCTCATTAAATCCAAGGGTCCAGGTCATATGTTGTGGACTGTCACGTTCACCAATTTTTACTCACTCTTTACTCAAACCCTCACTGGTCCCTCACTGTGTACGATCGGTAACAAATCCGCTTTGATGTTCGTTCGGTGCCGCCTGTATATCCAACTCCGTGCGTGTGATATTTTGTGATGTATGGCTTTAAAAACTTTGAGCAAAGTTACATTGTGTTCTAAATACACGTAGCTTAAATCATATGCAGCTGGATTTTCTTTGTATTTGATCGGTTTTCTTGAACATAATCCAAGACAGGTTTTAAATATACTTCACAATTTTTGTTGATTTCAAGTGTGCGGTTTGTTTGTTTTTGTTTTTATTGAATGCCGTGGCTCGAATATCTCGTGTACTCACCGATATAACGCGAGATCTGCCCACGCGCAAGATTTGACGTTAGCTGCATCTATTCTTATATCTTTACCTTGCCTAGTGTTATCGTATGGAAATTCCCGTTTTTTTTAGCTTTGCTACGTTGCTATTCTATTTGAAACTAATTTGAAATTTGGTTGGTTGTTTTTTTCCCCTCTTTTTCTTTGTTCTTTTCCTTATTATTTTAAATCGACTGCTTACTTATACTAACTTAAACGTAAGAATCTCGTTTTAAATTATTTTAATTGTCGTTGTTGTATGTTAATTATGACCGAATACGTTGTGTTGCCGTGTCCTGGTCATGGTAATTTTCAACGGATTAGGGACGGAAAGTGGGGTCGAATGTTCGAGAGAGGTCTCTAGATGGCCTTATTTTGTAATGAGATGGCCAGGTAATAGATCCAAGGTGGCCTTGTTATGCCATCCGATGGCCGCAAGTAAAGAGCGGAGGTCAGGATGAAATGACTTGCAGATCCCGCCATATTTGCTCCCAGTTTTGTCTGATCTCCGTCCTGCTTGTTCTACGTGACCAACCCGACGCTTGCAGGATACGGTTGGCCCACGGCCCACATACGGCTGGCCCACGGCCCACAGACCGATGGCCCCCCGTCCCACATACCGCGGCTATGTGTGAAGATTTGGTCACAAAGGTTACCGTACGGTGTCCCGTTACAAAATACAACCATGAAAAAAATATCCCGAGTGGCAGAACCCCAGGCCCTCCCTAAAGACCTTGTCATATTAAATACATACCTCCATCATGTCTAGTAACAACTGAGACCGCCGTAGAGCATACGAGTGTATTTTTTAAGCTAAGAATTCCTGTCGAACGCAAACGGTTTTAGGAGCTGTCATATTGTTTGATTCTCATATTCACAGCGTGTCATGCCATATTGTTTAATTCTCATATTCAAAGCGTGTCGTTCTCTAAAGCGTTATATTCAGTATCGAGTTACCTCCCTGCTTGTTCTTCTGAACGGTGCAAGCTTTGTTGTGTTGTGAGGTGTGTCGTGGGGTTTTGTGGCAATTTTTCAACAAAGTCAGGCCAAGGATAATACGCCACCATATTGGGATGTGTCAGTGTAGCTTTGTGTCAGTGGACTATTGTGTCAGGCTTTTAACATAGTTAGGCCAAGGATAATACGCCAGAATAGCCGTTTGTGTGTGTGTGTGTCGGGACTGGAGCTAGATCACGTGATTTGTATTATTAAATGAACCCGTTAGGTTTTATATCCGCGAGCAGTTTGTGTATCTATAATTTATATGTGAAGTTTTCTTCCATAATAACTTCAATACATTAACCTATAAGTAATTCATACAGTGCATTTATTCATTCGCTAACAGATGTGCCTAGCAGGGGTAACGAGAAGAATTAGCATAGACTATTCTCACAATTTGTTTGAGCTATCTCTATCTTAACTAAAATGATACATCCAAAGTGTACTGTATTCTCGGTCATCTACACAATCGCATGCAGTAGTAAGGTGGAATGATGCACCTCACATTGTTACAAGAGTCATTATTATCATTCTACTGAGCTTGGATTTAAACAGCCTTTTTCAAAATGTGAAGTGGTGAAATTTCGCATGAATTGTAACCATGGATATATCAACTAACAAACTGGTTACCTAGGATACCGCATTTGGAATAACCACTAACCTTAGTCAAAACGTTACATTGGAAAACACGTTCAGCTTTACTTTGGATACTTATACTAGTGGTCGTTGCCTTGGATACGGTTGTTTGGGCTTGTTCATTTGGATTCCTTTGCCGGTGCTCGTAACCTTGGATACCGTTGCCAGGACTCGTTACCTTGGTTACCGTTGCCAAGGCTCGTTACCTTGGTTACCGTTGCCAAGGCTCGTAACCTTGGTTACCGTTGCCAGGACTCGTTACCTTGGATACTTGATTGAAGTGTGACTCTAACAGGATGAGGATGGCGGTGTCCCTTCATGCGTGTATAACGATTCCTGGCAATGAAGATTTTATACAGTAAGTTGTCGTCCACCCCCTCCCCCTTCCCCCTGTTGGCAATGAAGATTTTATACAGTAAGTTTGTCGTCGTCCCCCTCCCCCTTCCCCCCTGTTGGCATTGAAGATTTTATACAGTAAGTTTGTCGTCCACCCCCTCCCCCTTCCCCCCCCCCCCCTGTTTGCATTGAAGATTTTATAGCGAGTTCTTGCCCCGCTAGATACAAATGTTGAGTCCGGACAACTGGGTTAAAAGTTACTGATACGAAATGAGACGTGTGTTCCATTTTATGATACGCCACATTATGATACACCACGTCAAACATCAGTCTCCCCTGCTGTCTGTACCACTTACATTTTATTATTGTCCTGGCTTAGTCAATTTGTTTTGTCGTAACCGCATCATCGAATCATATTTCTTTTCTTTGTTATATACATATTTTAAGGTCAATGAAAACTTAAGCAATTTTTTTTTGAGAAACTGATTGCTCATTTATCGTTTGTTTTAAAAGATTTTTTTTACCCTTTCTAAACTGTGTGTGAATGTATCAGTTGTTTAAAAAAAAAATCACTTTGCTACTCACTCCAACAGGAAATGTATCCGTTGTTTTAAAATAAAATATCACTTTGCTACTCACTCCAACAGGAAATGTTTAATTAAAAAAAAATATCACTTTGCTACTCACTCCAACAGGAAATGTATCAGTTGTTAAAAAAATATCACTTTGCTACTCACTCCCACAGGAAATGGCACAAGGCCATGGAACAATGGCGGACACTGGACTCTGGCACCAAGGAGGTCACCACGTGGCTGGAGAAGGCCGAGACCAAACTTCACACAGCCAGGAACACCCTCAGTCCTGATGAGGCTGACCTCTTGTACAAGGTGAGTGGCTGATTGTGTGTGGGTGAGTGGCTGATTGTGTGAGGGTGAGTGGCTGAGTGTGTAAGGTTCATTGGATGGTGTTGTACTGGTGTTGGTGACTGGACACCACTGGTGTTGGTGACTGGACACCACCAGTATTAGCTGGTGAACTGCGTTTCCTATGCCAAACTAGACAATCTTTGTTAAGTAAATTTAGTCAAATTTCTCCATCAGTTTTCCCCTAAATAAATCGGTACAGTAGGAAACGTGTTAATTTTTAAATTGCTAGACCAAGGGAAGCAACTTGTTTAATCGTTGATGTTTTCTTGGTTATCTTTCTTTACATGAAAAAAAAAATCAGGAAAAATTTCCTTACATTCCAAATTCTCATCTAATTAGCGACTTTGTTTTTGTCATCAATTGTGGGTTGTTGTTGTTTTTTTTTTGTTGTTGCTAACAAAATAATTTTTAATTGGGAATGAAAAATATCTCACTCTGACTTTAGCTTTCAGTAAATTATTCTTATTGCACGTTACAAAAAAATTGCTATTTTTTATTTTCATAATATTAAGTTTGATCACCAGTGAAGATCAACTATAACTAGGATAAATTCTGGATAAACACCGACTATAAATAGTAACACAAGTCAGCAATAGAGTGTGTATACCCTGGTTGTTTATTGATTGAGAATTACAGCTTGCACGTGTCAACAATATAGCAATGGGCTCCGAAACTATTGCTAACCCAACCTATTGTACAACCTACTGCTAACCCAACCTATTGTACTGCACCTACCAAACCTGTCACTTCCCCCTATTGTGCATGTCACGGAAATTGGCTCGGGCAGATGGAGGCTCGTTAGCTGGGGACAGCCACTCTTCTAGGAGAGACAACTCCAAAAATAAACAACTGCTGCCTAGTAGCTATTCTTGGTTGGACAAAGGCTATAGAAGCAGGGGCGTAGCGCGGGGGGGGGGGGGGGGGGGGGGGGAAGCGGACCGCACCGGGTGACACCAAGGCAAAAAATAGCAAAATATATAGAGAAAAACTTGAGTGGGGGGGTGCAAATCGAAAACTTGAGTGGGGGGTGCAATTCGAAAGTTTGAGGGGGGGGGTGCAAATCGAAAGTTTGAGGGGGGGGGGGGGTGCAAATCGAAAATTTGAAAGTTTGTCCCCGGGAAGGGTCGCTACGCCTCTGGGTTGGGGGGGGGATGACACCATTAAGTGCCGCACCGGGTGACACCCGACCTCGCTACGCCACTGTATGGAAGCAAATCCAAAAAGAAAAGCAGGCTGAAATCGGAGTCAATGGCCTCAACGGCGCATAACCAGTTTACACGTAAATCTTAATTGTGTTGGAAAGGGGTAAAAAGCTCCTGGTTGCTAAACCAAAGTCTCAGGTTCGATCCCTTCCAACACTAAAAATTAAGAACGAAGAAGAAGAAGAAGACTGAACTTGGTTCACATTGTTTGCATTTCACAGAAAAGAAACAGACTTGACTATAGTTTGAGGATAATAAATATAACAAAAGGTGTCGCTACTCTAAACCTATTTCAAAAAATCGCAACACGGTTGTGTGAAGAATTCATCTAGATATGCTGTTTAGCAGACAATGTTTAAAAATAAAATTTAGTATAAATAACATCAAAAGGAGTATTATAAAGTACTTCTACACTCTACACCATATTATACAAAATCAGAAGCAATGCTATCCTCTTCATGTTAAAATTATTATCATCAAGGTGTAATGTTAGTATTTACAAAAGGTTGAATAGGCATATGGAAGAGAGGTTTGATAATAATAGGGGTAAAAATATAAAAGAAATACAATATTTTTAAAAAATGTGTTTGTAAATATTTTAAACAACAAAATATTCAAGAAAGAAAAAAGAGGGACTCATACTTAACCTAAGGATAGGATTACAAATTACAGCTAGGATAAGGTTTAAGGTAAGAGTTAGGATTTGTGTTAAATCGGTGGAACCGATTCGACTGCTTTCTTGAAATAATCACGTTTAACCTGGCTTTGGCATTCTATAGAATGCCTTGGTAAAATAGAAATAAGATGTACATTATTACTTTGCCGACCAAGTTCAGTCAATGTATGAAAAGCCGGGTTTTTACAGTGGCGTAGCTAGGTCGGGTCTCTAAATATAAATACATACGGTGTATGTTGGAACATTTTTGAACCAGTTCTCTACATATGAATACATACCATGTATGTTGGGATATTCTTGAACCAGTTCTCTAAATATGAATACATAACCTTTCTCTAAATATGAATACATACCATGTATGTGTGGTACATACCATGTATGTTGGGATGTTCTTGAACTAGTTCTCTAAATATAAATACATACCGTGTATGTTGTAACATTTTTGAACCAGTTCTCCACAGGTATGGTGGGTTCAAGCATACCTTAGACTTTATGTAATCCCCCTGTTTTTATAGCGCTGTTGTTATTTTCGTGGCGTCTCTTTGTGTGTTTGAACAATGATTTAAAAGATAGAAAAATGTTTTCGGCAAGATCAGTTTGTGTAAAAATATTACAGACAGTTAAATCGGACCAGTTAGCTTTATTACATGTAGTGTTGTTTATTAAATATAATTGTATGTAAGGATAAGAGTGGGGATGATTGCATGTGACTGAATTAGGCTGAAACTGATATCGAATTGAAATAATAGGAACGGCCCATCATGCTAAGCGGAACTCGCCATATTGTTATTTTTTTTTATTCCATATCCCTCTAGCCACCGCCCCCACTGCTAGACATTGTTTACATAAGATATGTCGTTGTCGTTCGGGATCTACACTAGACGGGGCTTTCTGAACTTTTATTGCATCTACACCTGCCCATTCATCATATTCCATCCCCTTGTATTGAATTTGTCTCCCTTGACAAAAACACCTATGATTATCTCCCGTGTTCCCGCGATAACAACAGCCGAGAACTCGGGCCTATTTTACGTCGTCGTAATCCGAAAGTTTGATTTGGGTGCACATCTGTGCTGGTTCCCACCATCTTCACACATCAGCAGCTTTCATCATCTTCATGTGCTCTACTGGCCTGATTCATTATGAACTTGTTTACTCGGTGCTGCTTTGTTTGTAAACACAGTCCGTCCAAGCGAGGCAACTCTTAATTGTAGGTTATAATGATTTCCTGTTATCGTTCTTGGCAGATATGTAAGTGGAAAAAATTACCTAAATCGTTAAGTATATATATATATATATATATATATATATATATATATATATATATATATATATATATATATATATGTATGTATATATATATATGTATATATATATATATATATGTATATATATATATATGTATATATATATATGTATATATATATATATAATCACATTTACCGCATATAGCCTACCTACCTGTGACTGGAAGAAAGTAAACATGCTAGCAGTCAACATTTGTGTTCATAAATTGAACTATCCAGCTGTTTAGCCTCACAGGTATCAACTTACCGTGAGTGCATATCGTTATAAATTGCGTCACTGCTCTTACACACGTGCGCTCCTGTTCGATGACGTCAGCACATCCGGCTATTTTGTTTGGGTACCCATCGCGTGAATTATATTTTTTTTAGCCCTGGACTTGATAGGCTAGTAATCGTTGATGTTGTTGAATCCTCTGTTTTATAATGTGTTTCGGTGGGGGATAGAGTTGGAAGATTTGCATCGGTGTGTTACAGTAGCACCACGTGAGCGTAGAGTCGCGCGCATGTGACGGGAGTAACGTGATCTACTTGTGCTAGACACGCATGTTTTGCTAGGATATCAAATTTTGAAGCCAGTTTCAGGGCGCCTAGAGACGTCCGTAATTTGGTTCGGCGAATTGATTGGTTATTGGATTACAATCGATATTAGATAGCTGTTAATTCGTCTTCCCATTTTATGCTCGGGTCGGTTTCGGTACAGGTTCTCGTGGGTAGGTTGTGGATAGGTTTCGTGTAGGTTGTGGTTTCATGTAGGTTGTGGTTTGGTTTCGTGTAGGTTGTGGTTTCATGTAGGTTGTGGATAGGTTGTGGTGTTGTTTCATGTAGGTTGTGGATAGGTTGTGGTGTGGTTTCATGTAGGTTGTGGATAGGTTGTGGTGTTGTTTCATGTAGGTTGTGGATAGGTTGTGGTGTGGTTTCATGTAGGTTGTGGATAGGTTGTTGTGTGGTTTCATGTAGGTTGTGGATAGGTTGTGGTGTGGTTTCATGTAGGTTGTGGATAGGTTGTGGTTTGGTTTCATGTAGGTTGTGGTTTGGTTTCGTGTAGGTTGTGGATAGGTTTCGTGTAGGTTGTTGATAGGTTTTGGATAGGTTGCCTGTAGGTTGTAGATATGTTGTGAGTAGGACGTTGGTATGTTGTGATTAGATTGATGATAGGTTTCGTGTAGGTTGTGGGTAGACTGTGAATAGGTTTCGAATAGTGGATAGTGTGTAGGTGGTAAATGTGGTGTGGGTGTTATCGTTATGGTGTGGTAGGTTTCATCTAGGTAGGTTTCATCTAGGTAGGTTTCATCTAGGTAGGTTTCGACTAGGATGTAGCTTGGTTGTTGTTTTTAATCTCCAGACGTAATTGATTACTCAATTAAACTTTAGGCAGGTGTGTGTGGAAGTGGGCGGGGGGGGGGGGGGGGTGGTTTACTTACCTGGCGTTGTTCATGATGTGCATGAGATTTAACATTCCCTGGTCAGGTTAGTGTCCGGCACTCGGTGTCTTGTGAATTTTTTGCCATACACACTAACATGACGTCGGTCATATAACCTTAACACATGTCATACAACATTACGTGACAACCACTAAACACCCGTAACATGACATCTTACATGGCATCTGACGTCTTACATGACATCTGACATCTTACATGACATCTGACATCTTACATGGCATCTGACATTTTACATGATTTTTCACACAACTTCGCATAGTTGGCATATTTGAAATATTTGTCACATCTGTCTGAGAGACCCTACTTTGACATTCATTACACAGATTTAACTAGA